GGAGTTGGTGGGAGGAAGGAGGGAAATGGTTAATTTCTCCTTGTTTTAGGTCCAAGGGGGTTGGATCTGTATTCACCAGGAGTTGGTGGGAGGAAGGAGGGAAATGGTTAATTTCTCCTTGTTTTAGGTCCAAGGGGGTTGGATCTGTATTCACCAGGAGTTGGTGGGAGGAAGGAGGGAAATGGTTAATTTCTCCTTGTTTTAGGTCCAAGGGGGTTGGATCTGTATTCACCAGGAGTTGGTGGGAGGAAGGAGGGGGAATGGTTAATTTCTCCTTGTTTTAAGATCCAAGGGGTTTGGATCTGTATTCACCAGGGAATTGGTAAAGGTTTTTCAAGGCTTCCCAGGGAGGGAATCCATTGAAATGGTGGCAGCGGAACCAGAGCTAAGCTGGTAGTTAAGCTTAGAAGTTTTCATGCAGGCCCCTACATTTGTACCCTAAAGTTCAAAGTGGGGATACAGCCTTGACAGCCTGCAATACCATGGAGAAGTACCCCTTCCTATTGATGTACTCTGTTGCAAGGTGGTCTGGTGCCAAAATTGGAATATGTGTGCCATCTATCGCCCCTCCACAGTTAGGGAAACCCATTTCAGCAAAGCCATCCTCTATTTCACAAACATTTCCCAGAGTCACGGTCCTTTGTAGCAGGATGCGATTAATTGCCCTGCACACTTGCATTAACGCAGCCCCAACGGTCGACTTCCTGACTCCAAATTGATTCACGAGCGACCGGTAGCAGTCTAGAGTTGCCAGCTTCCAGGCATTAATTGCCATACACTTCTCTACTGATAGGGCAGCTCTCATTCTGGTATCCTTGTGCCGCAGTGCTGGGGCGAGCTCCACACAGAGTTCCAGGAAGGTAGCTTTCCACATTTGAAAGTTCTGTAGCCATTGCTCGTCATCCCAGACCTGCATGATGATATGATCCCACCATTTAGTGCTTGTTTCACCAGTCCAAAAGCGACGGTCCACCCTCTGCAGCTGTTCAGTGAATGCCAAAGGCAATCAAAAGTTGCTCCTATCCATATCCCACAGCATGTCAGGCGACTGGGAGTCTTCTTCACTTAGGAACTTTGCGATTAACTGCATTGCCATCTGCGATGTCTTCATGACAGTAACAGAGCATAGGATAGCAGTGCAGGATCCATCCTTCTCACAAAGATGCTGGGATGCACAGCAAAGAAGGGCCATTGAAAAATGCCACGAAAGAAAGCTGGAAGCACATGGAGTCCTGGGACTGAAAGCAATGCATTGTGGGACATTGAGCATGGTCCCACGATGCGCTGCAATCTGCTCTGCCTTCCCACAACACCTAGCGACAGAAGGTGTTGAACTGAACTGTGGGATAGGTACCCACAGTGCACTGCTCACACTGTCGATGATAGTGCCCTAACTGTGGATACACTCTGCTGACAAAGAGAGCGAGTGTGAACATGACATTCCGATTTTTATTATGCCAATCTTTGAGTGTCGACATCACTTTTATCAACAAAACTTGGTAGTGTAGTTAAGGCCTAGGATCTGTGGCACTGCCTGTGACAAGGAAAGGACTAGTTATTATTAAAGTGATTCGTTCCAGTTCTTTTGATTTGGATAACATGCTCTTTGATCTTGTTCCAGATGTGTGAAATTCAACAGTAGCTTTCTACAGAGAATATTTATTATTAGAGAATCTTTGTCATTTCAGGGTGATCACTAGAAAGCATTTTCAATTGCAAAACTTGAATGTGGTCCATATCTAAGCTCAAACAGGAGATCACACTTACAAATTAAAATTGACTAGCACTGTAACTTCCAAAAAAAAAAAAAAGCAAGATGAAATACGTATATATATATATATATATATATATATATTTATATATTACCTGAAAAATCAACAGCACAAACGCCATACTGGTGATAGCCCTTTAATACTGACAGTGGTTTGATTGTCTCTGTATCCCAAATGTGTATTGAGGAATCCCGACCAACCTAAAATATAAAGGATTTTAGGCATTCTTTTGTATCTTGTAGTTGGTCATCATATTTTGTATTTTTGCTCAAAATAATAATTTTACCTTCAAATTTTAATTACATCAGTAAATAAACTGAAAAATTAAAGTGATGATGTACTTCTCCCTCCTACCTCGTCTATCAAAATACCAAATATTATTGTAGTTCTGAAGTATCAACATGAAAATTCTCCCTCCTGCCTCTCACCTGTCACTCCCTCTCTGGCTGGCCCTCTCTTCCTTCCAGGGAAGGAAGAACTTGAAAAAATTAAATACAATTAACTAACCTTACAATGGAATTCTACACTGAAAAGAGGTTTTTTGGGGGGGGGGGAGCTTACATGTTTATTGTCTCAGTTATTTCTATGGCAGTTGTTTTGAGTTTACAAATAAAACCAATAGCTTGTAAAGTACTCTAGGCTCGAGAGCCAAACATAACTTCTTTCCTTTTCATGCATCATTATCAGTAATAAAGGTTTTGCAGGTCAAATTATGTGATACCTATGCAATTGTATTACTTTCAGTAAGTTTGCAGCAATGCAGATGACTCAAATTTAGGAGAAAAGTTTATTGGTGTCAAGTGTATTCTCTTTTAGCTATGTTGAGTGTGCAGGCATTACTAGTCTTTAGTTAGCTGATATCTTACTATTTGTTCTACAGTATCTGTGCCTCATTCAATACACAAAATGGCAGCTACCGAGGCAGACAGCTGCAGAAAAACAAAGGGCATTCCAATCTGGTTTAAGGCACCAGACTAGGACCTAGGGTTCTACTTGGTTCTGCCACATATTTACTACATGATGTCAGGCAAGCCTATCATAATGTGCATACCGGGGGGACTGAGGGGGACGCTGAATCAACATTGTACGGGCAATCTTAATGATAAGATTTCTTAATTTAAGTGCCTGACTTTGCAATCTTAGTGTTGTTTTAATACATATTTTAGAATCTACTGTATCTTAGGTAAATTTTTATTCAAATATTTTCATCTTTCAAAAGTCAATACATAAACGTGTACTATATAAAACTTAAAGCGGTTTACTATCTAATCAAAAATCTCTAACTAGGCCAATTTGTTTGCTTAATCTCAAACATACTTTTTACCCAGATTACAAATATTACCAACATAAGTGTAAATTCTTTACTGAGAACTTGGTGAGCTGTCTAGTTAATAATCATTTGTCTTTATCTATACCAACACAGTTTCTTAGACTCTGGGTTCACTAATTAAAACTCAAAATATTCTCTCAAAATCAAGCCATAAATTCTATACGTGAGAACAAAGCTTTTGAAAGAAGATGTTTATCAGAAAAGGATGCCTGTTAAAAAGTATTAAATGTATGTACTATCTGGAGATTGATAAAATAGCATCTTATTGTAAATAATAACAGCACTGAGATTTTGAGCATACATATAGAATTCAGACATATGATCATATAAAACAGTCTGGAAATCCAGAATATTAGGAAATTTGTTTTTGACAGATACCTTTTAACAATATAAAAATGTTATATGTATTCAGTTTTTTTCTATATATTATCTTACAGTGGCAACACAATATAATGTTGATTTAAAAAAATGTTAATTTATTCATGCTCATCTGAGAGTTAATCAGTTATAAACTCAGTCAGTTGTCAAAATTGATGAAATATATCTAATTGGAAAAAAGTAGGGCTGTTGATTAATTGCAGTTAACTCATGCGATTAACCAAAAAAACCCAAAACCTGTGATTAAAAAATTAATGGCAAATAATCGCACTGTTAAACAATAGAATACCAATTGAAATTTATTAAATATTTTTGGATGTTTGTCTACATTTTAAAATATATTGATTTAAATTACAATACAGAATACAAAGTGTACAGTGCTCACTTTATATTATTATTTTTTATTACAAATATTTGCACTGTAAAAATGATAAACAAAAGAAATAGTATTTTTCAATTCACCTCATACAAGAACTGTAGTGCAACCTCTTTATCATGAAAGTGTAACTTACAAATGTAGATTTTTTTTTGTTACATAACTGCACTCAAAAACGAAACACTGTAAAACTTTAGAGCCTACAAGTCGACTCAGTCCTACTTCTTGTTCAGCCAATTGCTAAGACAAACAAGTTTGTTTACATTTATGGGAGATAATGCTGCCAGCTTCTTATTTACAATGTCACTTAACAGTGAGAACAGGCATTCACATGGCACTTTTGTAGCCGGCTTTGCAAGGTCAAGGTATTTACGTACCAGATATGCTAAACATTCATATGCCCCTTCATGCTTCAGCCATCATTCCAGAGAACATGCTTCCATGCCGATGATGCTCATTAAAAAAATAATGCATTAAGTAAGTTTGTGACTGAACTCCTTGGGGGAGAACTGTATGTCTTCTACTCTGTTTTACCCACATTCTACTATATATTTCATGTATCATCAGGTAGCTGTGTTAGTCTATATCCACAAAAACCACAAGTAGTCCGGTGGCACCTTAAAGACTAACAGAAAGTGGGGTTTTTACCCACGAAAGCTTATACCCAAATAAATCTGTTAGTCTTTCAGGTGCTACCAGACTTCTTGTTGTTTTTATATATTTCATGTTATAGCAGTCTCGGATGATGACCCAGCAAATTTTCGTTTTAAGAACATTTTCACAGCAGATTGGTACCTTCTTTGCGTTTTGTCAAATGTGAGATTTCTAAGGATAGATACAGCACTCGACCCAAGGTTTAAGAATCTGAAGTGCCTTCCAAAATCTGAAAGAGACAAGGAGTGGAGCATGCTTTGAGAAGTCTTAAAAGAGCAACACTCTGATGCGGAAACTACAGAACTCGAACCAACAAAAAAGACATTGTAAACAAGACATGGGCAGCATTATCTCGTGCAAATTGTAACCAAACTTGTCTGAGTGACTGGCTGAAGTAGGACTGAGTGGACTTGTAGGTTCTACAGTTTTACATTGTTTTATTTTTGAATGCAGTTATTTTTTGTACATAATTCTACATTTGCAAGTTCAATTTTCATTATAAAGAGATTCCACTACAGTACTTGCATTAGGTGAATTGAAAAATACTATTTCTTTTGTTTTTTACAGTGCAAATATTTGTATCAAAAATAAATATAAAGTGAGCACTGTACACTTTGTATTCTGTAATTGAAATCAATATATTTGAAAATGTAGAAAACATCCAAAAGTATTTAAATAAATGGTATTCTATTATTGTTTAACAGTGCGATTAATCGCAAATAATTTTTTTAATCGCTTGGCAGCCCTAGAAAAAAGCTGAGGTTCTCAATTTTTAGACCTCTCTCTGTCCCCAACACAATTTCAAAAATTCACCTGCATATTTGTAGACTGCAAAATCCTAAATATGCATGTGTAAATTTACTAAAGTACTGTAACTTCAAATTTCTAATGCATATAAACATGTATCCTACCTGGCCTGTTGCCACGTAGTCCTTTAAGGGATGAATAGCAAGGCAAAGAATGTCATCATCATGACCCAGATAAAAGCGCTGCGTGTTCTGCTGCCGATTGTATACTACGCCCACTGCTGCAACATGGTACACAATTTCACCAGTCTGAGTGTAAAATAGATTACTCCGACAATCATAACCTCTGTAACTAATTAAAAAAATAGTTTTTAGATCAAGATCACAAGCATAGATGCTAAGTAATTAACGATATAAAAAAAATCAGGACACATTTAATTCTTAAATTAGGTAACACCTCAGAAATGATATACCAAGTACTACATAGGAGTATTAAAAATGATTCACATCTCTATTCCCAAAGAATACCACTTTACAAATTTCAAATAGTATGCAAAGATCATTACATCTACCCTTAACTTGAAAGAGAACGTTTATTAACAGTAATGCTTTACAAGAAGTTTAGAACAGGAAGTAAAGACTAATATTTTTTCCCAAATGAAACTGCAGGGGGAATTGAGTTAGACGGCATGCAATTGTACAGGTTGGAATTTGTCTGGAATACCATGCTTAACATTTTCTTTCTACATCACAAGTGGCCAAGATCCTGGGTGAATTTGGTCAGGAATTTTCAGTGAAAATGATTTTTCAATGGAAAATGAATTTTATTTCAGGTTGGTTCAACCCAGATCAAAAAATTTCAGTTTGTTGAACTGAGCTAAAACATTTTGTTTTGAATCAGTTTAGTGTTCAACTGCACCTGCCTGTGGTACTGCAGTGCTTCATGCCCCATTCTCTCTTAAAGGCTAGGGTTTGGGGCTGGACTTCATCTCTCTTGAGGCACCACAGTTTCTCTTTTAACCCAACTGTGTGGTGCATCCTGGGAGTCATGTGACTGTGGCTGCATCATGGGAGATGTAGTCCAGTTGATAAGGAAAAATGAAAGCATGAGGCACCCAAAATACAACTCCCAGAACGAAATGCAGCAGCACAGGCAGATGCAGTTGTCCAAAAGACTCAAAATAAAGCATTTAGTTTCAATGAACATGTCAAAACAAATCATTTTTGCCATCTCAAAATCTAAATCTTTGGAACTTTTCTTTCAAAGTTTATGATATTTCAAATTTTTGTCCTGATTTGACACAAAAACAAATATTGAAATATTAGAATTTCTCACAGGACAGAAATTCTGCTTTTCTTTTAGCGCTAGTCTTTGGTTTTGAGTGTAGCTCATGATTCAGTAGGTGGCACTTTGGTTGACTTCTGGGTCAAAACAATACTCCATCAGCAAAGGGCTTCATTACCATAATACTGAGCCACTAGTCAACCAAAGTGCCACCTACCGTTTCATGCAGTACTGAGGAGTTGCAGTACCTGCGTTACTTCTTGCAATATCAAGGAGTTTTTTGGAGTCTATAATTCAAGTAGTGAGCCAAAACCTACTTAGTCTGTGAAATCTAAGAGGATCACAGAACAAAATAATATGATGACTCCAGGCAGTATATCTGTGTCATGATCAGAAATAAAAATATCTTTACTGTAAGTACATACCCAAAAAAATGACATGAAGGATTTATCATACCATCAGAATCCCAAAACATCCACTGGCTGGATCCTTCCCAATGTCAAAGATCCTTTTGCCATCACCAATCTGATGGCTGGCTCCTCCCAGAGGAATTCCTCCTGATACCTATTCAAGGATGCCTCCCCTCTTCACTTTCTCATTCCAGAAACCCACTTTGACTTCTTTGCTTAGGCTGGCTCCATTGCTCTTTATCTAGCTCGGTAAGTATGCCATAGCCATCACTGTGCACAATCATGGCTTTTACGACCATAATTATGCTGATGATTCACAAATCTACCCCTCTATTGATAAGTTATCTCCATCGTCCAATGTAGTATCTTGGTCTTCTTTCTGACATCTCTTTGTGGATGTCCACTTGGCATCTTAAGCTCAGCGTAACCAAAACTGAGCACTTGACCTTTCCTCACAAGTCCTTCCCTATGCTCCCACTCTCTATCACCATGGTGAACGCTATCATCACCCCAGTCTTTCAGGCCCACAACCTAGGTGTCATTTTTCACTTGGTCTTCTCATTGCACCCACACATTCAAGCCATTTATAAATCTTGTCTCTTTTTCTTAGACAACATCTCTGAAATCAAACCTTTCCTCTGACTACAAACTGAAAACTCACATCCTTTTATCATCATTTCATGCCTTCCCTATTACAACTTTTCTTCAGTCCTCCAATCTATTTAGAACACTGCTGCTGAAATAATCTTTGAGGTTTGTCACTCTGACCAAATCAACCTCCTCTTTAAGTTTCCTCCACTGGCTACTCATTCAGCTCCACATCAAACACAAGCCTCTTGTTTTAAACTTTAAGGACATTCATAACTTAATCCCATTGTAGCTATCTGATTTAGTTACCAATAGTGATCCACCAGCATTCCCAGCCTTTGTCTCCCAAAAGTTAGCTTCTCCATTAAATATCTCCATGCTTACTCCCATGACAGTTATCTATAATTATGATTTAAGTTTGTATACTATAACATCAGAAGGCAATCTGTCTTATTTGAATCACTGACACTCATTACAGATAACACACAGTGAGGCTACCTGCCTCATTGTAAAGTGACTATTCACAGTCAGCAGGAGAGGCACATTCAGAAAATATGTAAAGTTCTTTTGTAAAGCAGACTTAAGCATACAACTCAGAGCAACATGATGATTTATGTTTTGAGCATCCCTTGCTCTCAAATACTTGTGAAGAAACACTTATATAACTTCATGAACAATTTTACATCTTCTGTAGATCCAACAAGGAGAGGTTATTTAACAGCAGTCACTATAGTTCTTGGAGAATACTGACTCTACATGTTCATGCTGTGGACAGGGGCGGCTCTAGGCACCAGCAAAGCAAGCACATGCTTGAGGCAGCCCATTTGCAGGGGCAGCAGGGATCTAGCATGGGAGCTGAGAACCAACTGGGGGCCCTGGGAGCTGTAGTTCCTTGGTTAGCTCCCTGCCGATAGAGCCAGTCCTGGAGCAGGGAAAGAAAAGACGGTTACTCACCGTTGTAACTGTTGTTCTTCGAGATGTGTTGCTCATATCCATTCCATTAGGTGTGTGCGCGCCGCGTGCACGATCGTCGGAAGATTTTCTACCCTAGCAACACCGGCGGGTCGGCTATGGAGCCCCCTAGAGTGGCGCCTTCATGGCGCTGAATATATACCCCAGCCGACCCGGCGCCCCCTCAGTTCCTTCTTGCCGGCTACTCCGACAGTGGGGACGGGGGGCGGGGTTTGGAATGGATATGAGCAACACATCTCGAAGAACAACAGTTACAACGGTGAGTAACCGTCTTTTCTTTCCCTGCTCCAGGACTGGCTCTATCGGCAGGGAGCTAACCAAGGAACTACAGTTCCCAGGGCCCCCAGTTGGTTCTCAGCTCCCATGCTGGATCCCTGCTGCCCCTGCAAATGGGCTGTCTCAAGCATGTGCTTGCTTTGCTGGTGCCTAGAGCTGCCCCTGTCCACAGCATGAACATGTAGAGTCAGTATTCTCCAAGAACTATAGTGACTGCTGTTAAATAACCTCTCCTTGTTGGATCTACAGAAGATGTAAAATTGTTCATGAAGTTATATAAGTGTTTCTTCACAAGTATTTGAGAGCAAGGGATGCTCAAAACATAAATCATCATGTTGCTCTGAGTTGTATGCTTAAGTCTGCTTTACAAAAG